GCGATGACGCAAGGCCTATCCTCCTCCTCCTCCTCCTCCTCCTCCTCCTCCTCCTCCTCCTCCTCCTCCTCCTCCTCCTCCCTCCTCCTCCTCCTCCTCCTCTCCCTCCTCCTCCCTCCCTCCTCCTCATCCTCCTCCTCCTCCTCCTCCTCCTCCTCCTCTCCTCCTCCTCATTCTCCTCCTCCTCCTCCTCCTCCTCCTCCTCCTCCTCCTCCTCCTCCTCCTCCTCCTCATTCCCCTCCTCCTCCTCCTCCTCCTCCTCCTCCTCCTCCTCCTCCTCCTCATCCTCCTCCTCCATCTCCTCCTGAGCGACTTGGTTGGGCACTGGAATGTGCACGTTCGGTACCCGTATCGAGTTCAACAACATGCGCTCCTTGCGGCTCAGGTCGGGACTCCCGAGGAGACCCCGCCGGCAAGCTTCTGTGTGCGAGTGCGCTGCCACCTCGAGCGGACGTGGGGCTAGTAAGCCCCGGAAGAGACCCAGTAGCGGCCTCGAACGGGACGGGGGGGGGGCGACAAGGTGGGGAAAATCAATCGAGTACACGTAAGAGTGACCCTTCGTCGGAGTGGCCTTTGGTGCGGGGCCACCGGGGTCCCCCGATCGCCCAACGCGAGGCGGCAGTGGCGTCGTGCGCGCTTGTGTTTGGCCCCCCCGCGGCCCCCGCGCATCAAAGGTCACTCTTACCCAGGGTTTTTCTTGCGTGTAGTCGGATTAAGCAGTTGCCGTTCCCCTTCTGATATAAAGCGAAAGAAGGAACTCACCCGCCTCGGGCCCCCGAGAGGCCTCGACCTCGCCGAACGGCGGAATCTGGTCGAGACGCTGGAGGACAGTCAGCCCGCATAGCAAGTAGGCTGCCCCTTGCATCCTTGCCCCTTGGGCCCACCCTTCGCGACTCTCCGCTGGCCAAGCAAGCTCGAGAAACACAAACGTGGCCCTTCAAGGCCCTTGCACCCTTGCCGCGCATCCTCACTTCACGAGGAGCCTCCGGGAGGCCCTGACAGCGCAGCGCAGCCCCCGAAGCCCTCGACCTTGGATCTCCGATCGGCGCGGCGACGCAGGCAGCGGCGGCGATCGACGGCGGCAAGCCGCGGCCGCGGCCTCGGAGGCGGCCGCGGCCGCACGGCGCCGCGCACCGCCGGGCCGCGCCAGCCGCGCGGCGCGCCCAGCGCCACGGAGAGCGCCGCGGCGAGCGCCGCGGCGAGCGAGGCGGCCTGGCGGTCTGGGCCCGTGGCCCCCCGGGGCCACGGCGGGCCGCGCCCCGGTTCTGGCGCACGCGAGGGGGCGGCTCCGCCCCCGGCCGCGAGCGAGTTTCCTGTCGCAGCTGGGGCTGGGGTGGAGGGTGGTTTCTCCGAAGGGCTTGGCCGACCCGTCCGCCTCCTCCTCTTCCTCTTCCTCCACTCCCTCCTCCTCCTCCCCTCCCCTCCTCTCCTCCTCTCTCCTCCTCTCCTCCTCCTCCTCCTCCTCCTCCTACCTCCTCCTCCTCCTCCTCCTCCCTCCTTCCTCCTCTCCCTCCTCCTCCACCTCCTCCTCCATCTCCTCCCCCCTCCCTCCTCTTCTCATCCTCCTCCTCCATCTCCGCATCCATATCCTCCTCCCCCTCCCCCTCCTCTTCCTCATCCTCCTCCTCCTCCTCCTCTCCTCTCCCCCCCTCCCCCTCCTCTCCCTTATCCTTTTCCTCCTCCTCCTCCTCCTCCTCCTCCTCCTCCTCCTCCTCCTCCTCCTCTTCCTCCACTTCCTCCTCCTCGGGTCGCCTACGGCCCTCTCAGGGCTCAATAGGGAGGGGAACCGTGCATGCTGGGGGCTCAATAGGGAGGCTTCGACGCGAACCCCGCGAGCCCATCGAAGAACAAGAAACGGCAAAAATATAAAGTTTAAACGGTCCGCGCGGATTTCTTGGATCCGCGCGGGGGCACCCTGGCGGCGCCTCCGGCGCCACCCCTGGAGCGCCGCCCCTGGCGCGATCCGCGCGCCAGGGAGGGGGTTCTAGCCCAGATCCAAGAAATCCGCACGGACCTACCAAAGTTGATGTGTATGCCGTTTTTTTCTCCCCTCATTGTCGGGAGAAGTTGGATTCGGCCGCGTCCGGCTTTTCGTCGGATCATGGATCCCCCGGCTTCTGGGCCCGTCCCCAATGATTTCCTCCTCCTCCATTCCTTTTCCTTATAAATCGTTTCTCCCTGTCCCACCCCGAGGCAAGTTGTTAGGGTGGACCAGGCGTGTCGCGCGAGATTTCCTCACCAGCTATGACCCTGAAGCTTAATCATTGGCAACCGTTTCACAGATGGAGGGCGGTTGGTTTTCAAAATGTGGCTCTTGCCTTAGCGCGGCGCACATGCGCTTAGAAAATGTGTAAGGGTGTTGCGGGTTGAGGGCGGGTCGTTTCTAAAATGTGGTTGTCGCCCTAGCGCGGCGCACATTTGTCTTAAGCATTTGCAAGAGTTTTACGGATTTAGGGCGAGTGGTTTTCAAAATGTGGTTCTCGCTTTAGCGCGGCGCACATTCGTTTTGAAAACTTGCAAGGGTTTTACGGATTCAGGGCGGGTCGTTTCCAAATTGTGGTTGTCGCCTCAGTGCGGCGCACATTCGTTTTTGAACATTTTAGAAGGTCTTCACGGATTGAGGGCGAGTGGTTTTCAAGATGTGGTTCTCGCTTTAGCGCGGCGCACATTCGTTGGAAACTTGCAAGGATTTTGCGGATTCATGGCGGGTCGTTTCCAAAATGTGGTTGTCGCCTTAGCGCGGCGCACATTCGTTTTTGAACATGTTCAAGGTCTTCACGGATTGAGGCCGGCTCCTTTTCAAAATGTGGTTCTCGCTGTAGCGCTGCGCACATTCGTTTACACCATTTTCAAGAGTTTCACGAAACATTGTGCTTTGGTAGGATTCAGAACTATGCGGGTGCAACAGTTACGTTGGTTCCTTGTGTTGAAATCCTAGGAATGGCGCTCTGGCACGATTCAGGATCGTCAAGACGCAACAGTCAAGTTGATCCGTGGCGTTGGAATCCCGAGAGCAATACTTTGGCATGCTGCATGGTCTTCAAACGGGTGTCTTCCAACGAGGCAGTCTCCTCCTCAATGGAAATGAGCCGTTGTAGAGGCCTACGAGGAGGGAGCTTGGAGGGAGGGTTTACTCCAACATCGTCGATGACTCTTGGGTTTACACTGGTCCTCCTCCTCCTCATCCTCCTCATCCTCCTCCTCCTCCTCCTCCTCCTCCTCCTCCTCCTCCTCCTCCCCTCCTCCCTCCTTCTCCTCCTCCCTCCTCCTCCACCTCCTCCTCCATCTCCTCCCCCTCTCCCTCCTCTTCCTCATCCTCCTCCTCCATCTCCGCATCCATATCCTCCTCCCCCTCCCCCTCCTCTTCCTCATCCTCCTCCTCCATCTCCCCTCCATCTCCTCATCCCCCTCCCCCTCCTCTCTCCTCCTTTTCCTCCTCCTCCTCCTCCTCCTCCTCCTCTCCTCCTCTTCCTCCACTCCCTCCTCCTCGGGTCGCCTACGGCCCCGAGGGAAACCGTGCATGCTGGGGGCTCAATAGGGAGGCTTCGACGCGAACCCCGCGAGCCCATCGAAGAACAAGAAACGGCAAAAATATAAAGTTTAAACGGTCCGCGCGGATTTCTTGGATCCGCGCGGGGGCACCCTGGCGGCGCCTCCGGCGCCACCCCTGGAGCGCCGCCCCTGGCGCGATCCGCGCGCCAGGGAGGGGGTTCTAGCCCAGATCCAAGAAATCCGCACGGACCTACCAAAGTTGATGTGTATGCCGTTTTTTCTCCCCTCATTGTCGGGAGAAGTTGGATTCGGCCGCGTCCGGCTTTTCGTCGGATCATGGATCCCCCGGCTTCTGGGCCCGTCCCCAATGATTTCCTCCTCCTCCATTCCTTTTCCTTATAAATCGTTTCTCCCTGTCCCACCCCGAGGCAAGTTGTTAGGGTGGACCAGGCGTGTCGCGCGAGATTTCCTCACCAGCTATGACCCTGAAGCTTAATCATTGGCAACCGTTTCACAGATGGAGGGCGGTTGGTTTTCAAAATGTGGCTCTTGCCTTAGCGCGGCGCACATGCGCTTAGAAAATGTGTAAGGGTGTTGCGGGTTGAGGGCGGGTCGTTTCTAAAATGTGGTTGTCGCCCTAGCGCGGCGCACATTTGTCTTAAGCATTTGCAAGAGTTTTACGGATTTAGGGCGAGTGGTTTTCAAAATGTGGTTCTCGCTTTAGCGCGGCGCACATTCGTTTTGAAAATTTGCAAGGGTTTTACGGATTCAGGGCGGGTCGTTTCCAAATTGTGGTTGTCGCCTCAGTGCGGCGCACATTCGTTTTTGAACATTTTAGAAGGTCTTCACGGATTGAGGGCGAGTGGTTTTCAAGATGTGGTTCTCGCTTTAGTTGGAAACTTGCAAGGATTTTGCGGATTCATGGCGGGTCGTTTCCAAAATGTGGTTGTCGCCTTAGCGCGGCGCACATTCGTTTTTGAACATGTTCAAGGTCTTCACGGATTGAGGCCGGCTCCTTTTCAAAATGTGGTTCTCGCTGTAGCGCTGCGCACATTCGTTTACACCATTTTCAAGAGTTTCACGAAACATTGTGCTTTGGTAGGATTCAGAACTATGCGGGTGCAACAGTTACGTTGGTTTCTTGTGTTGAAATCCTAGGAATGGCGCTCTGGCACGATTCAGGATCGTCAAGACGCAACAGTCAAGTTGATCCGTGGCGTTGGAATCCCGAGAGCAATACTTTGGCATGCTGCATGGTCTTCAAACGGGTGTCTTCCAACGAGGCAGTCTCCTCCTCAATGGAAATGAGCCGTTGTAGAGGCCTACGAGGAGGGAGCTTGGAGGGAGGGTTTACTCCAACATCGTCGATGACTCTTGGGTTTACACTGGTCCTCCTCCTCCTCATCCTCCTCATCCTCCTCCTCCTCCTCCTCCTCCTCCTCCTCCTCCTCCTCCTCCTCCTCTCCGCTCGAATATCCCGACGCCGACGGCGGCGGCAGCCTCCGAAGGAGCGGCGCGTGCGGACCCGCGCTCGCGCGGCGGAGGCGGCCGCGCGAGCCGCGCGGGCGGCAGAGGATCCAGCGGCGCCCGCGCTCGTCGCCGCCGGGCCGTCGTCGCAGCCGCCGTCGCCGCCACCGCTCAAAATGATTTTGGTCGGCGGGTCGAGAGCGAGCCTCTTCCGGTTAAGCGCTAGGCGGGCCGCGCAAAGCACTAATTGGGGAGACGGGGCGCGGACGGGCGGGGCCTCAGGCGGCCGGAGGGCGCGGGGCCACACAGATGGACACGAGACCCTCGATGGCATCTCAGAGGCTCATCGGCACAGCCTGCAGTCGAAGCAGTCTCCTCCTGAGCTTTGCGTTGTTGTCAGAAGCGGGAAGGGGGAGGCGAGGTCCTCGGTGCCGACGCGCCCGATGTGACCCTCCACCTCCTCCCTTGCACCCAAGCTGGAGAGTTTCGTCTGTCCCCTCGTGCCACGCGCGCACGGACGGGAAGTACGGCCAGGACTTCTGTGGCAGGTTAGCTTGTCTTTTCTTGTGATTGGCCTGCAGCAGCCCGCGGATCATCCCTTTTATGGCCATGGAACAGAACAGGAGGAGGACGAGGACGAGGACGAGGACGAGGAGGAGGAGGAGGAGGAGGAGGAGGAGGAGGAGGAAGAGGAGGAGGAGGAGGAGGAGGAGGGCGCGCTCGGGCAAGTTGGGCGCGTCTCCTCTGCGGGTCGTCCTCCTCCGCGCCACAGGGCCCCCGTCGCGCTTGTCAGACACAGGTGTGCCCTCTCCGTCCAGCCTTGTTGCCCCATCCGCTGCCCATGCGGCCCATGTGTCGATTCACTCGGGAGGGACTCATTCGTGCGGGGCAAGGACGAAGAGAGAGACTTTCTGAGAAGGCCGCGACGCCCGACACATCCTTCCGAGCCGCCGGGTTTCAGGGATTTCTGATGTATCCTCACCCGAATGCATCCTCGTCTTGATTTCGCCTTACTCCTTCACATGGCGCGTTCACTGAGAGAGGTGGCACAAGATCAAGGGAGGAAAAACCACCCGGGCGCGAGAATCGACATTTGCTAGACGGCCTTGGGCGTTTACCCAACAGCCCTGCCCTGTCCGATTCCTTCGCTGGGTGCGTTTACTAAACGGCCCCTCTTGTCGAGGTGGTCATTCTGGGGAGGGGCTGTGGCCTTCTACACAGGAACCGGAGAGGTTCTGGCGCGCTGCTGGAGAAAAAAAAACCTCTGGGGACCGAGAGAGCGCCACGGAGAGCCGGCCGCACGGCCCGAGGCCTGCAGATCATTCGGACGCCCGTGCAAGACCCGGCCAGCATGCTTCAGAAGCCTCGAAGCCCAGGATATGTTTGCTTGGACGCAAAGAGAAAAAAAGCTCGAAGCCCAGGAGGGAAGAGAAAAAAAGCTCGAAGCCCAGGAGGGAAAAGGAAAAAGGCTCGAAGCCCAGGAGGGAAAAGGAAAAAGGCTCGAAGCCCAGGAGGGACAGGTTGGACACGGACACCTCTGGGCTGCTCTGGCACGCCCGTGCCGAGAAACGCGGAACGTCCCCCGAAGCCCAAGAGTGGGGGGGGCAAGGATAGAGGGGGGGGGGAGACACAAGGGGGGGGGGGACACATCCGCCCCCCATCGCCCACTGATCGCCGATGGGGGCCCGATGGCCACACCCCGCCCAGGAAGGTGCGGATGCACCAATTATCGGGGGGCTCATCGCCGATCCACCGGCGAGGTATCGCCGATTCCCGGTCGATGCAGCCGCCTCTGTGCCTATCCCCTTACCCGTTGCCCCTCGAGGAGGGAGCAGTTGGGCACAGACGCAAATCTGATCTGCCTTGGCACGCCTGCGTTGAGAAAAGCGCGACGCGTCCCGAGTTAAAACAATGTGCCTATCCCCCTACCGTTGCCCCTTACCCGTTGCTCCCCGAGGGGGGAAACAGTTAGACACGGGCACGAATCTGAGCTGCCTTGGCGCGCCTGCGTTGAGAAGCACGCGACACGCCCCGCGTTGAAGCGCAACGTGCGTGTTGGCACGCTGCCTGTCGGGTCGGCGCGTGTGGGCCCACGCTGTGGCGAAGGCATCGCGCCAGACCTATGCGTCGTCAGTGCGCGTGCTGCGCTCCGTGTCAGCACGCCGCACGTCGGGGGCGGAACAGAGGGGGGTGATGACTGGGGGGGGGTGGATATCATGGCGGGGGCCGTGATGTTTCCCCAGATCTCATGGCGCCTCTTCTTATCTCATTACGTCCCTGGCCCCCCCGCTGGGCCGCGCACATGCCGCCGGTCATGATTTGCACCCCCCCTCTTGGACACCCCCCTCGTGGCCGGTCCCGAGCATGTTGCGTGCTGCGCACCGGGGCAGCCAAGACACAAATGAGCATCGGTTTCCAGGGAAATACGGGAAAACATGAGAAGCGGGGTGGAAGCCGAAGCTCCGGAAAAATGTGGTCGAAAAGCAGATTCGGTATCCCAGGATATTTGTGTGTGTGTTTTTATTTGTGTGTCCCTCGTTTCTGGAAAATGCTGAACAGATTGTCCAAACGAACAATACCAGTGATCGCATTGTTCTGCCCACGTGCGAATTCCAGCACGCGCGACGAGGCTGCGCGCGATCGCTCCAAATTTTTACGATGTCAACAAATATCTGGAGGCGGTCGACGATCTGCCGCACGAGGCGTCGAAATTCGATCTCCATGGTTGTCGCATCTTCCACAAACCTCGGGCTATTTTCTGCCACAGATCACGCCACTGTCGTCACGTCGGACCTGGACAGCCTCAATAGATGTGTGTGGTGGAGGCCCGCCTGTCGCAGATGGCACCGAGATTCGCATAAAAGCGTGTCTGCGATTTGGACGCGGTTGCCCCCTTCCTTATGTGAGGCCGGCGAGAACCCAAAGCCTTCCGCGCCCAGAGATCCAGGTGCCTTCCTCCTCCTCCTCCTCCTTCTCCTCCTCTTCCTCTTCCTCCTCCTCCTCCTCCTCCTCCTCCTCCTCCTCCTCCTCCTCCTCGCTCCTCGTTCCTCGTCTCCTCGCTCCTCCTCCTCCTCCTCCTCCTCCTCCTCCTCCTCCTCCTCCTCCTCTTCCTTCTCCTCCTCCTCCTCCTCCTCCTCCTCCTCCTCCTCCTCCTCCTCCTCCTCCTCCTCCTCCTCCTCCATCTCCTCCTCCGTCGTCGCCGTCGTCGTCGCCTTCGCCGTCGTCGCTGGCGTCGTCGTCGTCGCCGTCGCCTTCGCCGTCGCCGCCGTCGTCGTCGTCGCCGTCGCCGTCCCATGCCGCGAGCGCTGCGGGCCCACTCGGCCGCGGCCGGGGGCCACGGCCCCCGCCGCACCCCCCGCGGAGAGGAGGACGCGGCGGCCCGGGAGGCGCGCCTGCGCGCCCGGGGGCAGCAGCTCGCCGAGCGCCAGCGGGAGCCTTGCCGCCGCCGCCGTGCTGCCGGGCAGGGTTCGAGGCTCGCAGCACCCGAGCAGGCAGTCGGGCCGAGGCAGGGCATCGGGCGGCTCGAAGAAGTCGAGGCGGAGGTTTTCGTCGCTTTCGGCCTCTCGGGGCCCTCGCTGGGCCTCGGGACCGGCAAAAAACAAGTCAGGACGCAAGATTGGTCCCGGGGAGGTGGTCGGGAGGTCGGGGGCCCGTGTCTCGAAAAATCGAGGCGTCGGACGTCTGGGGAGGTAGGAGATCAAGGTCGGCTCGGGGAGGGGAACCCCCAGTGTTCTTCGTGCCTCGTGGAGGTGCTCGTGCATCCTGGAGGAGGGTGCCCTCGAAGGTTCTTCAGTTTGGGCCGGCGGAGGGTCTCGTGTTCTTGAAGGATTTTATTCTGTCTCGGGTATGTATGTATTCCCCACGCGGTGTTTGCACTTAGGGTTTATTATTCCTGTTCTAAGGAATTAGGCCTGTCTGTCGGTCTGGCGGCTGTGCAGCCGCCGTCGCCGACCGTCGTCTGGGCCTGTCTGTGGGTCTGGCGGCCATGTAGCTGCCGTCGCCGCCCCGTCGCCGGCCACGGACAGGCGACGCGCGCGCTCGGAAGGCTCTTGGTAGCACTTTCTGGCCATACCGGTAAGTCGGGCCTGTCCCTCTACAGGGGGGGTATTCAAAAATTGTTCAAAATAGTCTGGTTTTGACCATCTTTGGATAGTTTAGGGTTGTTTTACTATTTTTAATTTTTCGCCCAAAATCGGGCTGTAGGGGGACAGGCCCGACCTGACCATACCTCTCAGGAATTCGCTGCTCTGCAGGATGCTGTTGCGGCATCTTCGAGCCGGGCGCGCGCCCCTCACAGAGGCTTGGGCGTCGCGTAATGGAGGGGTCATAAATAGGGGAGCGGCGAGGGTGGTCCGAAAAGGTACCCAAACGGTACCTAAACGAGCCCCCTGGGACTCCAGAGGGGCCCGAAAGGGGCACGAAAGGGGACCGTTTCTGACCCCCCCATTTGTGACCCCCCCATTAAGCCAAGCCCAAGAGGCACACGGAGCAGGGCACCAGTGTGGTTTTTGGTGGGTCCCTTTCGACGGGGCTCCCGGACGGTCGAGGCCCTGGGCCCGCAGAAGAAGAAGAAGAAGAAGAAGTGATTTGCCTCGGGCGGTCCCCACCTCGTGATGCCGAACTGCATGGGCGCTCCCAGCCCGCAGGCGCGTCTCGCGGACTGCCCTCCGCCCCGGGGGCGGCGCAGCAGACGCGAGCGGGAGCTGGTTGCAAAAAAAACTGGAGACGATGCGGAGGGCATTCTTCTGATCTCCGTGTCCTGCGTTCCCACGCACCATCGGATGGGCGGCGAGAGGGGGGGGAAGTGAGCAGGCGAAGGCCAACTGGGGCGTGTCCGAGATCGCAGGGAAGCAAAAGCGGGCATGAACAGAACAACTCGGAGTTCCGCACGGATTTTTCGGATCGGCGCTGGCCCCCCTCCCCGGCGCGCGGAGCGCGCCAGGGGCGGCACTGGAGGCGGTGCCAGGGGGGCCCAGTGCCGGTCCGAGAAATCCGCGCGGACCTCCGAGTTGTTATGTTTATGTCATTGTTCGTTCCACTAGCTCGGTCGCAAAACATGCGAGCCTGGCATGTCTTCGCAATTCCGGGTTTTGGGAGCTTGTTTCAAGCATGTAGAGTCGCCCCCCAGGGGACGCGCGGTTCCGAACAGTCGCATTAAGCAGGGGTCCAGAGCCAGACCCCCCCCCTCCCTCCCCCCTTCCGCCCAATGTCGAAACGCCGACTGAGAAAAACGCTCACGCATATCTTCGCAATTCCGGGGTTTGGAGTGCTTCAGCTTGCGCGAGCGTCCGATAATTCATTTCGACGGGGAGGCGCAGGTTGAGTGTCGAGCTCCCTCGCCCTGGCGTCGGCAAGCGTCGATTCGCAAGAGCCAACAGGATGGCGCGGGAATCGGAGGACGTCCTCGCCAGGTCGACGGGCGCGGCCCCAGACATCCCACGCATCGGGGAACAAAAACAAAGCCGTGGGCCGAAGAAGGACATACTCGGAGGTCGATACACCTCCTATCCTGACACGTCGATCAGCGAATTGGCCGTCTTCGGTTCGCGAGAGGGCGTCGCGGCCGTCATGTTTGCGGCTCCAGGTCCGTCGGTTCCGGCCCTGGGCCGTTTTCATTAAAGGGTGCTACTCAAGAGAGGTTTGTCCACCGCCGAGGGAGGCTCCCGTGACCTGCCACCGAGCGCGAGAGCCCACTGAGATCTCCAGGCGCCCGAGGCCCCAGATCTTCGGCCCCGGGGCCACGAAAGATGGATCCGGGACGACGGTCGCCCAGGAAAGCGATCGAAGCCGTTGCGGCCACGGATGGGAAAAAAATCACGTCGGCGGGTGTATCTCGTGGAATCTGGATCTGGACTTGCACCCCATTCCCTCATCTGTCATACAGTCGGGGCGCTGAAGAAGGAACCCTTTTCGATGGGGAGGGGCTTGGTGTTCCTGGATTGTTTTACAGTTTGCCTAGGGTTTTCCTGAGGTTGTTTCGTGGAAAATCGAAGCTTACCTTTTGCTACAAGGGGCCTCGTTCCTTATTTAGGGTTCCTTAGGTCAACGCCCCGACCGTACTTAACTATTTTTATGGGCGCACAACGCCATCGGAAATGGGTCGCGGGTGGGTCGCTGTTGAGTCGCGGGTGGGTCGCGCGTGTAGAGGGCAGAAAGTCCACCCATAATAATCACCCCGAGAAGCGAAGCCGTTTAGTAAACGCACACAAGGAATGAATCGAACAGGGCAGGGCTGTTTAGTCAACGCCTAGGGCCCTTTAGTAAACGTCAATTGTCGGGTCCGGGTGGTTTTTCCCCCCTTGAATGTAGGTCGTGGGGTGGGTCGCGGGTGGGTCGCGGGGTGGGTCGCGGGGTGGGTCGCGGGTGGGTCGCGGGTGCGTCGCGGGGTGGGTCGCGGGGCCGGTCGCGGGGCCGGTCGCGGGGCCGGTCGCGGGGCCGGTCGCGGGGCCGGTCGCGGGTGGGTCGTGGGTGGGACGACGACGACGACAACAAACGACAACAACACTTTTTACAACAACAGCAATCATTTTACCCTCACGCGCGATGTTTCGACACGAAGCATGCGACCATCATGATAACCATCCCCATCATGGGGGACTATTGTTCTATAGCGGGGCCCGTTATTCCCATTCCCAGATCTCCCGCCCAATGAGGTCTTACAAGCATTTCCTTTTTGAGGAGTTTGAGCATTTCCCGCCTCGAGAACGCATGCCCTCGCCTTGCACAAGACCGCCAGTGGAGCCCCAGCCAAGGGTAAAGCACCAGGAAGTATCGAGCGACAGGATAGCCGTGGTGGGGATGGGGGCTGTCGGCGGCGAGGCAAGCACCTGGTCTTGAATAGAAAGGAAGAAAGTCTCGAGCAGGGCCGCTATTGTTGCTGGGGGCGGCGCCAATGCTAAAGAGAGTAGAGCGCTGCTCCAGCGTACAACGGGAGGAAGTCTCGGGCGTCAGCGTTGGTTTTGTCGGGACAGCTGTTTTCGGCGGCGAGGAGGAGCACCGCCTTGAGTATCAACGGGAAGACGCCTCGAGCGGGAACCGTAGTTTTGTCGGGACGGGGCTGTCGGCGGCGAGGAACAGCACCGCCCTGAGGAAAAAGGGAGGAAACCTCGAGCGGGAGCGATGTTTTTCGTTGGGAGCGGCGCTAACTCAAAAGAGAGTAGGTTGCCAGTCCAGGATAAACGGGAGGAAGTCTCGGGCGGGAGCATTGGTTTTGTCGGGACGGAGGTTTTCGGCGGCGAGGAGGAGCACCGCCTTGAGTAAAAAAGGAGGAGGTCTCGAGCGGGAGCGTTGTTGTTGGTGGGGGCGGCGCCGATGAGAGAAAGAGTAGCGCGCCAGTCCAAGGTAAGACGAGAGGAAGTTTCGAGCGGGAGCGCTAGATTTGTTGGGACGGCAGCTTTCGGCGGCGAGAAAGAGCACCGGCCCTGAGTAAAAAAGGAGGAAGTCTCGAGCGGGAGCGTTGTTGTTGTTTGGGGGCCGGTTTTGGCGCCCCCCCAAACCGCTCGAGCGCGAGCCTCACTGTCAATGAAAATGTAGCCGGCGCCTAGGCGAGAGCGCCAAAGCGCCCAAGTGGGTCCAACAATAATAATTGTTTAGTAATTAACACTCAACAGCGCAATAAGCAGACTTCTCACCACGAATTCCTTATTGAGCCACGCACCCAAGGATAATGGAAGACCGTTCGACCCCCCCACTCTGACATAATAAAACGAATAGTGATACTGCTTCTATTACTAATACTACTACTATTTCTACTACTACTACTAGTACTACTACTACTACTACTACTACTACTACTACTACTACTACTACTGCTACTACTACTACTACTACTTAGACTACTACTACTACTACTACTACTACTACTACTACTACTACTACTACTACTACGACTACTACTACTACTACTACTACTACTACTACTACGACTACTACTACTATGCCTACTACTACGACTACGACTACGACTACGACTACTACTACTACTACTATACTACTACTATTACTACTAACTACTACTACAAACTACTACTACTACTACGACTACTACTACTACTTAACTTCTACTACTACTACTAACTACGACGACTACTACTACTAATACTATTGCTACTACTACTACTACTACAACTACCAGACTACTACTACTACTACTACTACTACTACTATACTACTACTACTCACTACTAGTACTAGTACTAACTACTACACTTACTAACTACTACTACTACTGTATTGCTCTACGACTCCTACTACTAACTACTACTACTACTAACTACTACTACTACTGCTACTACCACTACCACTACCATAGCACTACCACTACTATACCACTACCACGGCACTACTACTACTACTACAACTACTACTACTACTACGTCTACTACTACTCTATACTACTACTACTACGGCTGCCACTACTATTAATACTACTACTACGACTACTACTACTACTACTTCTACTACTACTACTACTACTACTACTACAACCACTACTACTACTACTACTACTACTACTACTACTACTACTACTACGACTACTACTACTACTACTACTACTACTACTACCACGACTACGACGACTACTACTATTACTACTACTACTACTACTACTACTACTGCTACTACAACTACTACTACTAAGACTACTACTACTACTACTACTACCACCACCACTACTCCTACGACTACTACTACTACTACTACTACTACTACTACTACTACTACCAATCCTACTGCTACTATTACTACGACTACTACTACTACTACTACTACTACTACTACTACTACCTCTACTACCGCTACTACCTCTACTACTACTACTACTACTACTACTACTACTACTACTACTACTACTACGAATACGAATACGAATACGAATACGAATGCTACGAATACTACGAAGACTACGAATACGACTACTACTACGAATACTACAAGTACTGAGACGACTACGACAACAACAACAACAAAAACAACAATCAGTTTAAGAATGATCGCTCTTATCTGTTCGCGTGTCACTCAATATGCAGATCCCAAACCCTGGATACCCACCCTCTTCGTCTTCTATCGTACCCCTTTTTGGGGGGTGTATACTCATTCCCTGCCACGTGTGGTTGGTGAAGCCCTTGAAGACGAAGGGTAACAGATAACGGGAGAGAATGAGGACGAAGGGATCGGGGGAAGTGAGGGGAGGGGCAAGAAGGAGGGAGGACGACGATTGGCGCTGTGAGTGGCGATTCAGCTTGCGCCATGGCTTGCGCCAGTCACTCCAGCGACAGGGGCAGCGACGGGGCCGCTGAGGGCAGAAACGGGGCCACGAAGGGCATGCATATGGGGCCACGACGGGCGCGAACGAGCGGGGGCCACGAAGGGCATTTGTATATGGGGCCACAAAGGGCGACAGCGGGGCCACTGAGGGCAGCAAAGGGCCACCAAGGGCAGCGACGGGGCCACGAAGGGCGACAGCGGGGCTACGAAGGGCATGCGTATGGGGCCACGACGGGCGACTGCGAGCGGGGGCCACGAAGGGCATATATTGCGGGGCCACAGTGGGCAGCGACGGGGACAGTGAGGGCAGCAACGGAGCCACGAAGGGCAGCGAGCGAAGGCGACCGCGGAACCAGTACGGGCAGCGAGGGGCATCGAAGGCGGGCGAAGGGCAGCGAGCGGCGACTGCAGTCCGTAACGGACGGGTCGGGCGGGCAGGCCTAGGCGGGCGGGTCGAGCGGGCGGGTCGTTGAAACGTAAATTCTGCTTGAACCGCAAGGCAATATGTAGCGGGAGCGCGATTCCTGAGTGTCGAGGAGCGGCATCTGGAAAAAATGTGAGGAAGTATCTGGCGGGAGCCGCGATTCGGTGGTAAATTGCGATGAAAACCGAAGCGAGAGCGCGATTCTTGACCAGATTGTGAGGAAGTATCAGGCGGGAGCCTCTGTTGTTGTAAACCAGGGGCCAACAACGCAGTTTGACCCTCAAGATTTTCCATGATAAAAAACATAGTGCGAGCCCCGGGAAGGGCACTTCAATCGAACAAAAACAACGTGCACCGGACGGGGGGGATCAACAATATTTTTATTTTTTTCGAAAATAAGGGTTCAATTACTACTACTACTACTACTACTACTACTACTACTACTACTACTACTACTACTACTACTACTACTACTTTTACTACTACTGCTACTACTACTACTACCACTACTACTACTACTCCTACTACTATTACTACTA